GAGGATTATTGGTTACGATTGGCTGCCAATTTCAAATTGGCCACCATTCAGACATCAAACTGATCCTGTGCTCCCCAGCTGAAGTTGGTTTGGAGCAGTTCAGTGGCGATTGCAGCTGTTAATCCAGCATTTTTAGTCATTCACAGCTGTTCATACAGGAGCTTGGTGAGGAACGGTTGAAAGAAGAGAAAAAAAACACCTCATCTAATGGGTCTCTGGGGTTTCTACCGCAGCACTAAACACATAAAGACACAATAAAGCCTATTGGCCTCCGATGTCTTTCCATGGGCGTGCTTGTGTGAGTGTGTGTGTGTGTAATAGAAAGCTTCCCCCTGTCAGACCTGTACAATGATGAAGTCATGATAGACATGCAGAGCTATAAGCATACTGTAACTTCTAGAAACCCAATCCTCCTGTTTCTGCTCCTCACTCATACACTGTATGTTGCATCGGTACGTTCTCCTGCACTTTTAATGGCGTCCTGACAGGCTGTCAACAACACAGAGATCACTATCAATGTAGACCGAGAAGAGAGAAAGAGAGAAGCGTTCATGTGCTAATGCTCTGTTGCACTATAGAGATCAAGATGAACATCGAATCTGAGAAACAAAGTCAATATAAGAACTGGTGCTAACGGGCATTCACATGATGAATACACAGTTTAGGTTTTTGAGGTGAATAAGTTGTGATTGGTAATAACTAATCTTATGAATGAACAATATACGAGTACCATATCGGTTATCGGACGATATTGGAGATATTTTTGTTGATGTAATATTTTGATATGAATCTTAAAGGTAAAAACTAATAATTGAATACCACTGTTGAATGTAACCATTAGCAAATCTATTTTTCATACTGTACATTATAATGCTGTGGAGCTTACATTCACTTGTAGTAGGGATGCACGATATATCGGCCACATTATCGGTATCGGCCGATAAATGATCATTTTTTATGTTATCGTTATCGGCCCAACGAGAACATTTAGCCAATATCTAAAAGCCGATAACTAATGCATTATTTCCTTCAGCTAAGGCACTTTAGATGTGCACTGTTCAACATGATGCTTTTAAATTGCTTGAAATATGATTGAAATCACTTTAAAAAAGGAAAATCCAGTTAAAGTGCAAAATGTGCAGCGCAAGTCTGTCATATCGGCTACACAATATTAAAATAAGAACTTGTATCTTGACTTTTAATGAGGAGACTTTTATTATAATCAGGCTCTCAAAAATTGTCTAAAAATTTGGATTTAGATTTATCGGCCAATATATCGGTTATCGGCTTTCAAATATAGAGAATTATCGGTTATCGGTATCGGCCAAAATTGTCATATCGGTGCATCCCTAACTTGTAGCATTAAAACTAACCAATATTAGTTTGCAGTGTTTTATTTTCAATTTATTCAGACCAAATACTATTGAATTTCAATACCGGACATTTATCAGTTATCAGCCACAACACAGAAATAATAATTATCACCTTATGATATATCCACCGGAAGTTTAATATCGTTGCATCAGTGTTGTTATTGTTAACTGAAACAAAAAAATATATATTGTTTTCGTTAATTGAAATAAAACTGAAATATAATAAAGTAACAAATAACATGAACTTAAATATAAATATAGAATAGGGATGCACCGATATGAACATTTTGGCTGATACCGATAACCGATAATTCTTTATATTTGAAAACCGATATAACGGCCAATAAATCTAAATCAATTTTTTATATAATTTTTGAAAGCCTGATTGCAAAAACAAAAGTCTCACAATTAAAATCTGTCCCCTAACACAATTATAATGTTCTCATTATAATTTCATGTAGCCGATATGACAGCTCATTTTGCACTTAACTATATTTTCCTTTTTGATTCCAATCATACTTCAAGCAATTAAGATCAATCATATTGAACAGTGCGCATCTTAAGTGTCTCAGGTGTCAAGTGTTGAAGGAAATAATTCATTATTTATCAGCTTTAATATATCAGCCAAATTTTATTATGGGGCCGATAACGATAACATAAAAATTAGCAAATATTGGCCGATACCGATATGGTGGCCGATATATCATGCACCCCTAAGAATAATAATAGTAATAATAACAAAATTTAAAATAAAACGAATACCATCATTTAAAATAACACCGGATACTACGGATAGCTGAGTACTCGAGTACTTGGAAGTGACAGCAAACATGAAAAGACGTCATATAGGTGACGTTATTGAAATTGCGTCTACATCCGACGCACATGGCACCCTTTACCGTCAATATGAAACGCAGATACATATGGGCCAGAAGGCGCCTCCTAGTGGTCTAACCTTAACACTACCCCAGACCTAAACCTACCATAACCAAAGCGTGTTGTATTGACGCTAAAGAGTGCCACGTGCGTCGGATTAGGCGCAATATATGCCACCCTGGGACGAGTTTGCGTTGAAAACACTGGAGCTACAGTATGTGGTCCGACTCATCAGCCAGTGTGTCTCAACACACACTTTGACTTCAGGGGAGGAACAACTCAACTCTGTCTGGAGTGGATTAGAGGACGACACACCGGACGTGTTCCTCCTTATAGAGACTACATAGTGTGTGTGTTTTGTTTTTTTTGACCCACCTCACACAAACCATGTGCAACAAGCACAAGACACCCATCTTAAATAATGGTGCAAATGGACCCACTGCCCCCGAAGTATAGTTAATTTATCGGTTGAGTACTTACTCAAGGAGACAAGATGACTAAATATCCATCACTAGAAATGACAAGGGCTGGTGTGAGGTCAGAAATCCCAGAGGAGCGAAGGATCAAAAGAGACGACAGTACAGTCTGTATGGTCAGATTCACACCACACACACCCACACATACTTGTCCGATTATACACCGAGTCATCAAAAAACAACAATCAGAGTACAAATAGTGTGATTGTCTTATTAACTGTGGCTGTTTGAACCAGAAACATGATCACGTCATCTATACTCTAATAGTATATCCTGTGATAGCTTAAAACCTTTATGTGCATGAATTAGTGCATGGTTTTTGTAGCTTTTTCTTCATAATTCTTTCATCAAAATGAAGTCTAAACCCCGTCCCGTCCAACCTCCAGTCACTTCCCCTGAGACGAGAGAAATCCGCTATTTACCTTTTTCACTTCCTCCTACTATGACGCAAAAAATCGTCATTTCACGTCACTGTAGGAGGAAGTGTAAGAGGGGGGATTTCTGTAAAGACTACAAGCACTAGTCCCACCTTTTCAAACCCGCCCATAGGGGGTTGGGCCTAATGCGCTAACAGACCAATCACAGATCAGTGCCAGTGCATTTGATTTCACCAGCAGAAACTGTTTGAAAATATGGACGACGGTACTGAATATGCAGACGGATGCATTATGGATAGGGTTGGGTACCAAAACGCGGTGCCAATAGGGAACCGTTTCCGACGTAGACGGTAATAACCGGACCGAATAAGAACGAAAATGTCGCTGCCTTAGTCTCTGTGTCATGAGGCGCACACACGCAAAGTCTCTCGCTCTCTCCCTCATGCGCCTTGTTTCACGTGTAAAATTACGCGTCAGAGTAAGTGTGGCGATTATCTGAAGCCCATATAGAACATAATGTAACTATTACTAATACTAACTTGCTAATTCCGCTTCACTCATCACTTCATTAAAACCACTATTCATCAGCATGCATTGATTAATCCCATGGCATTTAGAAGAAAAAAAAAAGGTGCGACCAAATCATATGCTGAGAAAGTTGGTAGCACCAGTTCAACCACTGGAAAAGTTAGTCTGGAGCCCTGATTATAATTATCCAGTAATAAAATTTAAAAAAAAAAAAAATCATAATATGACCCATGGACCGACTGAAAACACTCATTATGAACCAGCGGCTCGGTAGCAGACCACCATCGGGAGCTGCCGCTGCTGGTCCGCTAGAATAACGATGAGCATTGATTGGCCCTTCGGACCTATGTTAGTTGGGGAGAACTTTATGTAAATATGAAATTGTAAACAATTATGGCACAATTATTATTTATATTTAATATTTATATATAAAGAATATAAATGTTAGCCCTAGGAGAACTGGCCCGGTTCTCCCAAGGTTTTTTTCTCCATCCAATCTGATGGAGTTTTGGTTCCTTGCCACTGTCGCCTTGCTTTTGGCTTGCTTAGTTGGGGTTATTTAATATTCAATATTTAACAATATTATTGATCTGTGTTGTACTACTTTCATGTTATCACTGTGAAGCTGCTTTGATACAATCTGTATTGTGAAAAGCGCTATATAAATAAATGTGACTTGACTTATAATTTGTTGGTTTGTCCTGAGGAGCCAACAAAGACAGAAGAGAGCAAGGAGATCAAGATCTCACACCAGCTGTGTTTCCATCAAAAGTTGCGAATTTAACTAACGTAATGTCGCGTAAATTTGCGATTTTCGTCCAGCGAGTCGAAGAGAACAAAATCGTCACTTCCAGACAAACCGGCGCTAAATATCACTAAGAAAAGTAGGTGACGTCACTGTATAATATTTTTCACACATAATCAATGTATTGCGCTTGCTTTCGGAGGCGTTTCCTCCTGTTTGGCAACGCAGTTCTGCGAGATAATTATACAGAACCACTTTCAGAACAACCAATTTCCAAAAAGATCAGAAAAAAAAAAAAAATAGGAATTTATTCTTTCCATCGCATGTTTTCCTTTCAGATGTGAAAATGTATCCGACTCAAATGAGCGCATCACAATGTGCATGGCAGCATTTTGATGTGATATCCCAAAATGAGCATAAAAAAACATAGCGACTGATGAAACACACACTCACACTGAAAGTTCTGGACGCAGTTCAACCCAAACATCGCATCAAACCTCTACTGATCGTCTCCAAGCTGAGCTTCTCTTCTTTAAACCACTCCAGCAAGAGAAACAGCACAAATATCCATGGATGGAAAGAAAGGGAAATGAGGGAAAGTGGGAAAGTATGGAGAAAGACGTACCGGTACTTCATGCCGGTGAGTTTTCCGGTGGACTCTTTGAGGGAGATGTGTTGGCGTGGGGTAAAAGAGCCGAAGCTCCGGGCGATGATGGCGACCGTGCGAAACTTGGCCCGCGCCGCGTTGACCACGTTCGGACTGGTGGCGTTCGATTTCCCATGGTCCCCGTTCCGACCCTTCAGATTGTGGTCTGTGCAAGCGATTGAGACCTGCATGCTGGATGAGGAGGATGAGGAAGAGTCTACAACACAGAGAGGACACAATGAGGGATCATGCAGGGGTCCGTTCCCGTCCCGTGGATCAGCGGCCGCAGAGAAACAGCATCAATTATTGAGCACAAGGAAAAAGGAGACGTCTACACAGTTCAAAAGTTGCGTCGCTCCTTCTTCAGGATGTTCCTCGTGAAAAACACGACAGTCAAAGTTACGAGTCCGGAGGAGGAGAGGAGATTCCCGAAGCGCCGAGAGGATCCTCGCATGGTCTGATGAAGGAGGAGGAGGAGGAGGGGAAGACGGGACAGCATAAATCCACACTTCTGAGGTCTTCCTCTGTTCTTACACTCCCTCAGACACACACACATTCACTCACTTCCTCCAGATGATAACGATATGTGGCTAATGCGCTTATGCCCTCTCTTTCTGTGTGTTTGTTGAGCTCAGCAGTGACGCTTCATCTGCGCTCGCTCGGACGGGAATGAGCAGCAGGCAGTCGTCCACGTCCGTTTAAAGCACTCTCTCTCCCTCCCTTTATCTCCCTCGCTCTCTTTCTCTTCCAGTGTATCGCTCTCTTTCCCGAGCACAATGATTCGCGCACCTGTGCACACACACATCACTCTTTCAGTGCTAAACCCCAAACCAACAAATGCTAAATAGAAAGCTGTTAAAAGATCGTCAGAGAGGTTAAACCCTGTGGTGAAAATCCAGCTTTTAAATGTTGTTTATACATCTTTAATGGTGTTTTTGATATGCTTTAAGACAAGCCATGTGTAAATTCATCAGTCGAAAGCATTGCTGAGTATTTTCTGCAGTGAACCAAAGACAGTCTCAAAAACACGCTTTCTGGCGTCACAAATGACCTTGTAACCAATCAGATCAACGTGTGATCGTCAACCAGTGGATCTCTGAGCTGAGTCAGTGAGTGGTGGAGGCGGGGCTCATTTGCATATTCATAGAACCACGTATACTAAATTAGGCGAGGGTGTCGAGTTACATTCAAGTTATTTTAAGACATGGAAATGTTTTTTTTAAGGAAACCTGTAACCAATCAGATCAACGTGTGATCGTCAACCAGTGGATCTCTGAGCTGAGTCAGTGAGTGGTGGAGGCGGGGCTCATTTGCATATTCATAGAACCACGTATACTAAATTTGGCGAGGGTGTCGAGTTACATTCAAGCTATTTTAAGACATGGAAATGTTTTTTTAAGGAAACCTGTAACCAATCAGATCAACGTGTGATCGTCAACCAGTGAATCTCTGAGCTGAGTGAGTGAGTGGAGGCGGGGCTCATTTGCATATTCATAGAACCACGTATACTAAATTTGGCGAGGGTGTCGAGTTACATTCGAACTATTTTAAGACATGAAAATGTTTTTTTAAGGAAACCTGTAACCAATCAGATCAACGTGTGATCGTCAACCAGTGGATCTCTGAGCTGAGTGAGTGAGTGGAGGCGGGGCTCATTTGCATATTCATAGAACCACGTATACTAAATTTGGCGAGGGTGTCGAGTTACATTCAAGCTATTTTAAGACGTGGAAGGAAAAAAACATTTAAACACTTCATTAGAGTTAATGAAGTATTAACACATTTTATTTAAAACATGTTTTTGAAGATGAACAAAAATGTTATAGTCTCATACATACAATTAATTAAAATATATTAAATAATTATTTTTCTATTGAAATGCGAAATGAAATCCTATAATGCTGGCCTGGATGCCAGCCCGAACTCCGCCCACAATATTTTTTGGTCGGGAAGTTCGGTCTGGACTCGATCCATTGAGGAGTAATTATGATCAGGCAAGAAATGAACGGGCCAATCAAATTGCCAGGGCGGGCTTTATACGATGATGGACAGGTGATCTGCAGGGACGTAATCATCACGTTATTAAAGATGACTGCAGCTGGAGAATTGAGATGTATAGATTCTGCTGTCGCGTCTTTTGTAAAATAAATCGACAGCGCATTAATTTTAATAGACAAACAGAGAACTGCAATCAAGGCATTTGTCGATCGGAAAGATATTTTTGGCGTCCTTCCAACATGATTCGGGAAAAGTGTAACTTATCAGCTGGCTCTGACGGTCGTTAAGAAGATGGGACGTAATGAAAAGCCTGTGGTCGTTGTGGTTTCTCCTTTGGTGGCACTCATGGAGAAGTAAGTAAAAGAAGCAACACTCGTTTTTTAACTTCTAAAATAAATAAAGTTACGCCGCCTTCACACTGGCAGTTGAAATCAGCTCCGATGCGGCTGCGAAACGACCGGAAGTCATTCATTTCCTATGGAGATTCGCAGACCCGCATGCGAATGGGTCCGAAACGGGTCCGACCGAGTGCGGTGCGAAGAAAATCGTGTCCGTTGGTCATCCGGATGCGTTCAAAAATTTGAACTCGTGCGAAAAAGCTACGGACGGTTCCTATCCGACAATTCCAGCGGAAGTTGAGCGTTGCTATGGTACTGATAAACAAACCTGAATTATTAACTTTTAATAAAATAAATAATGATTTTATAACGATAAGTTGTCATGTCATTTTTTATTTTCACGACTTTCTAACGTTTATAAGGGCAGTTAATACAATTAAATTGAAGGTAGACATTGAACTATTGACCACTATATCACATTGTTTAGCCGACCTGACATGTCAACGTCCTCAGGAACTTTCCTCACGCAGCATAACCCTCATCAGAACTGACAGAATCAAACTTTAATCTCTTCGCCATTTTTGTTCTACCCGCGTCCGACGCTTTTCACTGTGTAGTACGACGTCCGTTGGGAACGTATTGCGTATTACGGAGCTGATTTAAACTGCCAGTGTGAAGGCGGCGTTAGGCTACGTTCTGTATTTGAAAACTGCGCTATGCAAAGGAGTTGACTTACTGCGTTGCTCTGATTGGTTGTAGGTCTACCGACTATCCAATTGAGTGCAGAGTTGTTGTTTTTTCCTGATTCGGTTACGACACGCCTCATAATCAAAGCCCAACGGAGGAGTTTCAGACTCATATTCTCTCTTGAATACGAGTATGACGAAGTCAGGCAACTATAATGCAATGGAATTACAAAAACAATGTATCTCTTCCTTCAATGAGCCTGACCTACTTTTAAAACAGTAGATTTATGGCTTTGGTATTGTACACACACCACAAACAACCAACATATATGAGACAACGTTATTAACTCATGTATATTAGCTACTCCGAGTCGCTATTCTGACCTCATTTAAATACATTACAAATCAATTGAGCTCTGCTTGAGTGCTAATGAAGCTTTGATATATGAGTCCCCAGCGCCTGTGCATTATTCTTAGCATTACCTAAAGTCCTTTGGGGAAATGAAGATCCTACCCGTGAAGCCGAACGTTACGTTTTGTGAGCAACCTGAAAGCATGAAAGGAAAAAAAAAAATCGATTTGTCACCTCTGGATTCCTTACTAGTCAAAATACCTCCTGCCAACACAATCTCCAAACCTCTTATCACCAGAAACAGTGAATTTACTGATCAATACGAGATCACACACACTGAGCGCAGAGTCGGTTTCACATGCTCAACACTCTAACTGTGGATCTCGAATCGATGATGATCGATGAAGGAGTGAATTCTTACTCTTACAACCCAAAGTAGCTCATTAAAACAGGAGATTCTGCCTTGAAACGCCGTGTCTATGGAAACCACAGAAAGTGGAATATCTTTCCATTAAAATGTTTCCACAAAAGGCTGTTTTTTCTCAGTAGCAGCAGTTGTATAGCTCTGTAATGGTCAGATAAGCTTAAAATCGTCTAGAAGATCATTACACTGAACAACATGGATCTATGGCTACGTTCACACTGCAGGCTGAAACGACCTAATTCCGATTTTTTTGCCCCTATGTGACCTGTATCTGATTTTTTCATGACAGTCTGAACGACACAGATCCGATCTTTTCAAATGCGACCCAGGCCACTTGGGTATGTGGTCCAAATCCGATATGCATCCGATCTTTTGAAATACAACTTTAATCTGAATGGCCAGGTCACATATATCAGACCCGCACGTCATTGCACGCACCTGTAGCTAGCCAATACACGCTAACTGCACTGTTATGGGCCGCTGCAGACGTGTCTCTTCCCCATCCAGATAGCAAACTGACATTGAATCAACGTGGAAATATGACATCGAAACAACGTTGATCTGACATTGTTTTGCTCATCGAATTAACGTTGAACCAACGTCAGAAGCGTCATTCTTTCAAAACTAACGGAAAATCAACTTGAAATCAACGCGTTGTTTCAACGTTATGAAAGCTAACCAATTTTCGATTTTCATTTAGCTTTGAGGAATCCCGCGTCTGACGTTGGTTCAACGTTAATTCGATGAGCAAAATCAACGTTGTTTCAATGTCATGAGAGACGTCGTTTCCACGTTGATTCAATGTCAGTTTGCTATCTGGGCAGTGTTGTGCCTGAACGCGTTCATATTTTCGCGTATCATATTATTCACGTTCGCCCAAAATAAACATACTGTATTACTGCCTGATGAACATTACTGTGAACACGTTCATTCTGGTGTCTGTGAACGTGCGCTCTCTGTCAGTTTAACTTCGTACAGTAGGGTGCCAGATATAGAGCCTTCCAAGCGAAAACCTGGCTAAAACACATGTAAACATGCCTTAAAATGTAGCGAATAACCACCCAATCTGGCAACACCAGCCAACAGTGTCGCACCGCCGGCCGCCGTCGACAAAGCAAGGAGCGCCGCGGACACGCTCTATCAATTAAACGGGTTTTATGACGAGGTCGGTGAGGATCGGAAAAATCTTACATTTATGTGCAAACTTTGCCCGTCGATAAAATAATTATTGTCTGTGTTTGTATATGGGCTGTGGCAATAATAATAATAAAACAAAAGCTCGCAACATATGAAAAAAAAAAGAACTATTCCGCAAACAACAAGTGACGTTGTTGACCGTTGATTACTCTTCTGCGCATGCGGGTCACTTCTGGGTCATTTCACGTTCACGTTCACACAGGAGATCACAAAAGGTCGCATTTAATTGGAAATGTAAACGGTCTTGCAAAAAAAAAATCGAATTTTTTTTAAAAAATCAGAATTGAGCATTAAGCCCTGCAGTGTGAACGTAGCCTAATAAACTTGGGTACGACGTGTATATACGTAGACTGAACGATGATGACGCCTATTGAATCGTAGGCTATGTTAGTAGAGTATAGAAGAATAAATATCATCAGCATGCGCTAGTGGTGAACAAACTGATCAATAGAGTGCCGAAGTGATGACGTCACTTTGTAGGACAACTCGGAAGCTAGCGGCGCATGGGTTCCCTCGGTCGAAAAGCAACTTTCCCCATAGACTTTTGGAAAATCGCAAAAAATAAGATAGACAAAACGTGTAAGGGTTACAATTCTTTGTTTCTTATTTTTTGCGATTTTCCAAAAGTCTATGGGGAAAATGCACAGCTTTTAGATCGAGGGAACCCATGCTTACTAAGTGATGTCTTCAATTCGTCACTATATAG